TTTGATAGGCCCTTGGGTAATGCTCCATATCTTCCATTGGTGAATCCTTGTATCGCTCAAGGTGTACCCTCACCATGGGGTTATCCTCAACCGCTGAAGCTTGGCAACACCAATACGGCAATCGACAACAGCCCGCATCGCCTTACTCCAAGTCAGGCCACAATGAATCACACCAGCGGTGAGCAGTACGTCAACAGTCTGGCAACTCACGGCGCGGCGTTTCCGTCTTTCGTCTCGACGGGCCCGTATTACCAGACCCCCCCTGATTCGGGAATCCCGCTAGTTCAACCACCACAACCTGAAATAATAGAGCCTAGAGAATGGAGGTTAAGACCAGACACCGAGGCCAGCACAGAGATTGCTCGGTTTCACCACAGAGGAGACTTTTCCGGGCCTCTAGACCAGCCGCCATACGCACAGCGCGACCCGCCGACAGCCCACGAGGGGGCCGTTAGCACTAAGGCAAGAGGCTTGAAGCGTTTTCGACACGGGGAGCCCACGCACTGCAGGCCCTGCAACAAGTCGTTCCACGGCCCGGGTCAGCAGAAGAAGTTGGACAAACACGAGAAGACGGACAGGCACTGGCGAAAGACGCACCAGGAAACTAGCGGAAAGTCGCGGTGGCACTGTGGGCGGCGTAACCAGGACGGTTCCATGTGCGAAAAGGCCTACAACCGCCCAGACAACTTGACGCAGCATCACAGGAAGCGTCATTGACCTGATGAGCCATGGTAGCATTCGACTAAGAGCCTAGGGCGGAGCGAGCATTCGGAATGTATTGCAGAACTCGACATGCGAATGTCTTGTCACAGGAGGCTAGTTGCAAGTCGCCAGCTGTGACAGGCCAGTTGATTAGACAGCCCAGCGACTTGAAGGTTCTGGGCTCGCCGGATATAAGGCTGAGGGCTTGCTCAGGTTTGAGACCGTTGGTGGATTTATGTTATGGCATCGGGATTTTGGGCGTTTGAGGTATATCTGGAAAAGGTGGAGGCTTGGTAATGGATCATGTAGTTTCACAGTATGCGCCATTCTTTAGCTTTCCCGTCTGATATGGGGCATGTATACAGTATATATAATGAAGATCCCCCATGGGCTACAATTACGAGCAGACTTTCCCCACATAGACTGTACACCGTGGACATGCTGGTGGTTACGTCTCCAGAAATAAGGTAGGTAAGATGGCGTGCCTCTCAGCCGTGCTATCCACAGCGCCTTCTGAGACCAAGGCCCCGAGACGACATCCAAGCAGGCATCCACTGGGGCCTGTGACGAAATGCTCTCAAAGTGATGAGACATCAATCAATTGACTTGATGGAAGCTTATGTAATGTCACTACCTAGGAGAAGGAGTCAAGATAGGGCTGTTGGCATACTAATAAAACAACAATGCGGACAGCACAGGATAGGATGAGGAGATGGGATGATGATATGGGAGAATGAGATGAGATGACGAAATGTGATGATATGTTTCGATTATTAACTCTAACGGCACATGGACAACTTATCACTGCACTTCTTCTCTTTGTTGTCCAGGCCTGCTGTCCAGGGCATACACCTACCTGCCTCGGAAGAAGAGTGGCCGGATTTAAGTTTCTACTCTGCCAGTGCACCGGATGCCATGCGATGCTCTTTCCCTAGTCTAAACTCTTTCTCCAGGCTGCATACGCACACAAAATGGCCATTCCCCACCTTGTTTCAAATTAGCTTTTGTCATGTTTCAGCCACCTTCGCCTTGCTGGTCCTTGATGTAGCGCACGGAAAAGGCACAGAAACACCCCACTTATACGCGCTATGAAGTCTTTTGCTGGTCAAGGTCCTGGACTTTACATCCAACAGCCATATACAATAATATATTCTACAAACCAATCCACAATTTGACACTTCCTTGAGTCCATGGAACTGTGATTCTTACATTGACAGTCGCGTCTTGCGGGACTGTACTTCTGATCAGGCGCTGTTCATTTCACACAAGCTGGAAAGTGGACCATGCGAAAGTGCCAAACCCGCACCCGCTGCAAGTGCGGTATATCCGAGACGATTTCATGCCAGCCACACTGGCAATTTGGCGCTTGATTGAGACTGTCTGAAGGCAGGTGGTACAAAACACAAGAATGCTCTGCCAGAAAGTTTCTCGGACGCCACATCAGACCAGGAGCGTATACTCGGCAGTATTGCCGTTTCCTATCTCCCGGGGGAAGAACTCAAAGGCAAATGTCGTGTTCTTTCCAGACGCGATAACAGTGTCCACTATTCCCCTTGTTAGTACGACCCGGTTGTTGTCAAAGTTCCAGTGGCTATTATAAGTCTGCATCTTTCTTGATTAGCAGAGGCAAAAGTCCTCCCCCCGCCGTGGGAGGTTACACATGCGCGGCATCTTCAACGGCCCAATGGGAAAACATACCCCTCGACCCTTCTGAAGTTCGGGCAACCACTGGGTCCAATCATCCACCAGGTACGCCCCGTCGCCACTCGCCGCGATTTTGACGGCAGCCACCTTGTGAAGCCCCCGCCACTCGATAGGAATCCCGAGCTCCGACCCGGAGGGCACATCCTTGGCGGACGAGGAGGTCGAACCCAAGAGCGGAACGTGCCACTGCACAAGCTCGATCTGCGACGGGACGCCAGACGAGAACGTCACCGTCACATTGGCCTTGGAGCCAGGCTCCACGAAGGCTCCCAGATAGCGCGAAAGAAACGACTGTTTCAGGGTCACGTTCGACCCGGCGATGGTGTAGTCTCGGCCTTCTTCCAGCGCAGTCTCGCCCACGGCCAGCGACTTGAACGTGTTCCCGTTGAGGATGAAGGGCAATGTTCGGTCTCTGGCATCTATGCCCACCCTGTTGAAAACATAAGCAGACGATTCCTGCTTCGTTGCGGAGGCGTCGACGGTGCTGTCGGCGAGCGAGTTGGCTACTCCCTTCACCGCTGCCATGGTGATATCGACAGCCAGCTTGTCCCGCCACAGCCCGGTGGCGCGGTCGAGGTTGTCTTCGCCGTTGTCCCACATGACAGTGGTGATCCCGAGAGACTGGCATGTGCGAACGACATGGTCGAACCATTTCCACCGCGCAGCGGGTTCGAGGTGTGTTTGCGCGGCCTGGAATTCGCCCAGGAGAACCGGAACGTCGGTGAAATTGTTGCGCACGATGGCGAGGTCTGCGGCCACGGCGGCCTTGTCGGCTTCAGAGCCCCAGACGGTCTTGCCCCTGGTATCAATTTGGTCAGTCCTGCCACACATCGCCGTGACACGGGGTACCTTGTGTGGGGAGGGTGAGATACCATGCACCAAAGATGAAGTCGTCTGCACAGGTTAGCAACTTGGAAGGTTTCAAATCTCAGAGATACCGCCCGGAGCTGCGACTTACAAGGCGAGTAGTAATGAAACTGGATTGCCCACGGATTCGTCACGTTTGACGGGCGCCTGAATAAATGCACCTTGTCTCCGCCCATGCCGGGGCCTGAAAGGGTCACCACCCTCTTGGCATTGAAGCCACCCGAGTCGGCGAGCGCCTGGAGAAACACGTCGTTCATCTTGTTGAGGTTGTCTGCGTCGGCAGCGCTGCTTCCTGGCGCCTCATTGATCGGCTCGAGAGCGACCAGCGACGACTTGCACGCCAGTGTCTTCCCGATCTGCAGCCACGACGCGTAGAATCTTTCCTGAATTTGAGTCTGGTTGGCATCCGGCTTCGTAACGTCGGCCCATGCCCAGGAATCTTGACCCCGGCTGCGTTAGACTATCTCGCGACTAGGATCCGTACGGCTGAGGGCATACCGTGATGGATGTTGGTGATGACGTAAAGCCCCCTGGATGTCGCCATGTCGACGACGTCTGACACGCGCTGCAGCCAGGTAGAGTTGATCTTCCATTCTGGCGAGCCACTAACGAAATGTTCGGTATAAGTCACTAGAAGCGCGGAGCGTCAGTAATAGCATGTCTTAGGTACGTAAATACCCGCCGTCATTCGGGGACAGGCTGCCCTACCTGGGATCCGAACAGACTTGTATCCCGATGCTTGGACGACGTCGAGCGTCGAGCCTTGAAGCGGCGGATTGTTCCAAGACCCCTCGTTTGGGAGGGCATCCAGGGTGTTTCCAACGTTCCAGCCGGGATTCGCGGCACTGATCCATTTCTGGGCCGATATAGATTCAAATTTGCTGTCTGAAGGACAAGAGACACTGCAGGCAGTCCGCTATGGTCAATTGGTGTTAAACGAGAATCGTTGTATTGGTTTGGGCTAAGAAGTGACCAACCTTCTTTGATCTGCCCAAGCCCTGCGGTGACACAGCGGATGCCAAGTCGACTGCGGCAAATGCTAATGCAGCTGATGTCTGAAGCTTCATTTTTGCCTATGGCGAGAGTGTTGGATCGCAGGTGAAAACCGGGGAAGTCAGGTTGTGACACATTGCGGGCTACACTCGCTCCATTATAAAAAGTGGCAGGAGAGCCGCCTCGGCAGACTCCCCCGGATTCTGGGCCTGGAGCAGGACGGATACTACTCCGTAAGATCCATGTGGTTATTTGATGAGATCATATATTCGTCTCTTTTCAGCCGCCGCAGGGTGATGTTGCGGTGGTTACTGCATCGCTTCCAGCCTGGCTTCGCTCCGCACTCCCGATTCAGCCGACGCCTCCAAGCGAGGACACTGTCAACTATTTTAGTCCTTACTCAAAGACTTGAAACTTGGTACAAACGCTACTAAGTACATAAAAGAGGTCATGATGTTGTAACCATAATACAACAAAAAAAGAAGAAGAAAAGAAAATTGTTGTTGATCTTGGAGATGGGATGCAACCAGCCAAGACGGCTTATTGAGCCTCCAAGCCCGAGGAGGACGACTGTGGCCGGAGGACCTGCTTTGCACTACGATGGGGAGTTTGGAACTACTTCCGACTCATACTACAGGGAGCTTCGAGAGCTAACGACCTGTATATTAGCGGTGGCATTTCCCCCCTGCCATCAGAAGGGATGGAACCACTTGGTTCTCCAATCTCGGAGAAAGTAGCAAGTCTTGGATTCGAACCAAGAATCTTTGTGAGATTCACTGACCTACCTCCCGTGCTTAATACCTGACTGTAATACCACTATACTACATGCTAAATTCCGTGCTTGTTAATTGGTTGGGCGACTAGACCTGTTCATATGGGACCTCCTTTCATCACAACAAAGGCTACACTGACGATCGGCCATTCGTAGTCCGATTCAGCCATAAACACACGAGCGGGCCAAGAAATAAGGAAAATTCATTCCCATTGTCTCGTTTCGTATTGTATCAAATACCAACATCCTACACAGCAGCACCGGAACTCAAAGCTTCTTGCACAGTCTTGTCCCATACTCAATCTGCTCCCATGCCTCAGTGCCTGGCGTCGAGACGGCATAAAACACGCCGTTGGGGTCCCACTTCTGCCTTGCCTTCAGCAGCGCCGGGTAGTTGGTACCCCAGAACGCTGTCTGCCAGTTAGGCTGGAACGGGTCGGCCTCGTTAACATAGGCGGCCCCGTTTGGTGAGGCAGTCCGAAGAGCCTCGTCCATCACATATGTCAGTGTCTTCTGGGACGCCGCCTTCTCGGCAAGCGAGGCGCTACCAGAGACGGGTAGGACGGTGATGAGCTTGTCGACAACGTTGCGGAAGCGGGGGTTTATGGCGCTCTTGCTCCACTCCTTCTGCGGTAGGCCGTGACCTGCGTTCCACATGTGGCCAACCATAATGCCACCGCTGGCGATGATCGTCTTGAAAGCCTCAATGATGGCTGTGTGGTTGCTGAGCGCATCCTGTTTGGCAATGGTCCAGCCGCCTGTGAGGGCTGACTGGCCGGCAGTTTCGGGCTCAAACAAGTCCAAATAAAGGTCATAGAAGGTGGTGTAGGTCTTCGTGTTCGTATCATAGCGGACACCGAGGGCGTTCAGGTCGTCGAACAGGGGCTTCACGATGGCTTGGAGCTGTGCCGTGGTCTTGCCAATGCCGACGATCGGGTGGACGCGCAAGAGAGGGCCGAGGACCTCATAGTAGACGTAAAGGCCATTGTCCACGAAGTGTGTGCTGTAGCCGTGGAATATGGTGATAGCCTCCCAGAGCAGTGTCGAATTGGTCGTGTGGCTTGGGTTGATCTCGAGGTTGATGCCTGTGCTGGCAAGGTCGTCGAAGGTTTTGTACGTCGCTGATACGATGACGGCGAAAGATGCCGGTCCACCACCCCTCAAAGCCCAGAACAAATCCGAGTTGGTCTTCTCATTAGCAGTCCGGAGCTCGCCGTCAGCCGTAACAACTTTGAACTCGAGGGCAGTGTCGGCCAGAAAACCCTCGCGGTTCGTCCACGGGCCGTGGCCACCTCCCTGGGGGAGACCTCCAGCGATACCGACAGTCTGTGAAGAGGGTCAGCACTGGTACATCGAGTGGGCAACGGCCGAGGCTAACTTACAGCGCACTCTCCGGTGACCATGATTCTCGGCGGGTTGACACTATGCAGCCGCTTCAGCGCATTGATCGCCTGCACACCGGCGCCCACCGTGATGGTGGGCCCGCTGTAAGCTCCAGCACCTTCCCAGGTGTTGGAGAGCGAGATATCTTGGAAGCTGTGTGTGTTGATGACAAGGGCGCCCCAGCCTACACTCCGACCGAGGAAGTCATGACCGGTGTTGCGGACAACCAACCGCAGGTTGTTGTCTCTGGCAAAGTTGATACCGGCTTGGATGTGGCCGACAGTCTTGGCTGTGATGTACAGGACGGGATAATAGCCTAGGGTGCATGAGCCCGAGGGGTTTGTCGTTGGCCTACAGGTATCGTTGGTGAAATAAGACCACAATCCGGCAGTAGGGAGATCAATCTGGAATTGCTCGTCGGGGAAGTTGGTGGTGATATTGGCACACTGGGCGGCATTGTATGCGTTGATGTTGCCCAATGGCCCTGTGAAGGTGTTGTAGCAAGCTGCGGCCGGAGGGGTGTTGACATGCAGGGTCCCGCCGACCGTGTTGTTGAACGTCTGCCAATCCCGGGTGCTCGGCCAGCACGAGTCGCCCGGAAAGCATTTGCAAGCGTAGTTAGTCCCTTGCCATTTCTTGCTCACCCACTTCCCATGAGGTTTGGAGGGCGGACTGGGGGAACCAAACGACGTTGTGTCAACCCCGGAAGCGGCTATGCCGTGGGCGAGCAAGAGAGCGCCGCCCACGATGTTGACCACGGTGGCCTTCATGGTCAAGGTATTATTACTAAACGAGTGTACTGGTAGCCACCGCAACCAAAGCTCAACACGGGAGGTAAGGGTAGGGGTGTAGAGCGAGAGATCTCCGTGCCCGTTTGGAGGGCACTGGGAGCGGGCGCCATGTTTAAGGGCGGGCAGCGAGACCAGGTCGTCGGCTGGGGACCCATCGCGGGAGCGATTGGAAAGGAGAAGATGCAGTGCGAATGCAGAGCGATGCAGCCTGTCTCCATTCTGCGGCGGGGGACTCCCGGCACCGCGCGATGGTTCCTGATGCGATGCGACCCAGAGTTGTGGCTATTACGGTGCAGATTTACACAAATTGGGCCATGGAGGATTCCGGGAGATGGGCCGTCCTGGGCCAAGGCTCCATGGGCCATCAGCCAGAAGACGGGCCCGGGCGATGCCTCCAAGGATGCCTCCAAGGGTCCCTTGGCCTTCAGGCCTCGGGAATCGTCCCGGGTTGGTTCGAGCTGCGGTGACGCTTGCGAGAACAGGGTCCAAATTCGACAAAGCGACCATGCGAGACTTCGAATTAGCGTCGTAGCGATGTGACGCAATGCAGTGTGCAGCTCTTGGTCTTGGGTCGTGAGCGCATGGGAAATTTGCGGAGGCCACTTGGAGGGCGCGGCACTGCGGCACGGTAGCTAGCTCAATGCGGCAATGTTTCTTTTCAAGATATTGTCCTCTCGTCATAACTTTTTTCTATCCACTTGGTGAAAGGCGAGAAGGAGCCAGGGCCAGGGAAGCCCCAACATTTTGTGCGGGGAAATCCCCAATGCCTTCCGCGAGAAAAGGCTGGCGGGGGGTGGCTCGGATCGTGCAAGCGATCGGATCAGCAAGTTCCAATGCAAGCAATACAACAAACAAGCGACGACTCGACTGCGGCTCCAAATTGCTTCTCTACCACCACCACACGTCACAATTGGCCAGAATTCCGGATCGCGGCTCGACGACTTTTCTAGAAACCCCAAAAGCTTCAGCGCCCACCATTCATTGCCGCCGCCGACAATGCTCATACTCGCCAATTTGAACGCCGTTTTGCTTGACAATTGACCTGTCTTGTGCAACGCTTGTTGGCCCCCATGGCCCGCTCCGATGCGAGCGAAAAGCATAACAATGCCCTTGGTAACCCGAGCAAGCGATTCCAGATCGGGAAACGCAGTTCCTGCACCATGGCAGGCGATAAACAAGATCAGGTACCGACATGAGGTAGGCAGATCACTAACAGAGAAAGCGATTACGGGAGCTACGTAGAAGTTGCGGAGAGAAACGTGCTGCTAATAGGTCGCGGCTACGGACAATAACACCGACAACGACGTTGGTACTACAACTTCTAAACGCGGCATGTCCACGTCTTCAGATCCACGTGTCTCCACTGCCCATCGAATGCCATCGAATGCCATCGAATGCCATACGATATAACCCATACGCGCGGCTGTAGATGAAATGGGGGACGGTATCACTGTATCACCCCACATCGTCTCGGCCCACGGTCCTACCTACAACAAACCCCCCCCTTTTCCCAGAATTGATGCTTTTGTGCTCTTCTCGCCGAATAGTGAGCTCAGGTGTTGTCGCCGCATGGAAAACCGCACAACAAGAAGCATCGCGCAAGAGATGTAACATGGCCGAATTGTCTTATTAAACGTGAAGCATATGTGTATCGGACTCGATGTCTGCCGTGCATGGCGAAGTTCGGGCAGCTTCACGAGTAATAGCGCCGCTCCTCTGTTAATACCGGTGGCAAGGCCTGGACCATGCTGTGTTGCACAGCAGGAAAGTTGGTTATCGCGAAGCAGTACAGTATCCGCTTTTCGTCACTGAACAGTCCTCGGGACCCTTCCAGTATGACATATATGGGCAAGAGACTCCCCTCTTCCGAAAAACCCCTCAATTCCGAAATCACCAAGCCAGCCTGCTACTACTACCTGAAAAGATCAACACCATTACCTCAAAATGAGTCTTTACAATGAACTACCAGAAGACCTCACCGAGGTTGACATTATAATTGCAGGAGGTGAACCCCTGTCGCCATCCGATACCCCATTAAGCTTCCTCGGGGTCTAACTAAACATAGGGGGCACGGCAGGATGCATCGTAGCAGGGCGTCTCGCGGCCGCTGAGCCTACGCTGACCATCTTGGTTATCGAGGGCGGCACCAACAACCGCGACTTTCCTAGTGTGGTCGTTCCCCTATTCTTTACGAACAACTTGAAGCCACTAACTAAATCCGCCATTTTCTATCCGAGCAACAAATCCAAGCAGCTTGCCAACAGGGAGCTTATCGTGCCGTCTGGTGGGATATTGGGCGGAGGTTCATCAATCAATTTCATGATGTAATATGCGGCGATGACGCTTCTCGGGTTTTGCCAAATGACTCTTAACACTGAATCGAAAATCGCAGGTACACTCGGGCCCAACGCTCCGACTATGACTCTTGGAAGACGCCAGGCTGGTCGGCGGACGAATTGTGGCCGTATCTAAAGAAAGTACTAGTCACACACCCCCTGAAAATTGGCCCCAAGGCTGACTGACGAAGCTGGAAACCTACCACGGGTCAGGAGATGCCGCACACCACGGCTTCAACGGCCCTGTCCATGTTTCAGATGGCGCGTGGCGCGTGGGCAGCACAGAAGATGACTTCCTGCAAGCAGCCCAAACCGTGGGATATCCAGAGGTCCCCGACCTTCAAAACCTCGACAGCAACAACGGATTCCAGCGATGGCTTCGCTATGTGTCGCCCAGAGGAGAGCGCCAAGACACAGCGCACACGTACATTCATCCCCTGCTCGAGGATGGACAACACCCCAATCTCCATGTTTTGGTTGAACACCAAGTGATCCGAGTCCTGTTCGACGACGAAAAGCGGGCATGTGGTGTCGAATTTTCGCCTAAT